TATATATATATATCACTGTTTATCCACTCATCAGTGGAATTTTGGATTGCTTCCATCTTTTGACTATTATGAATGATGCTGCTAGGAATATGGGTGTAAAAAATGTATTTCAGGCCTGGGAATGTAGTTCCATGGCATAGGGTATGCTTAGCACACATAAGGCACTGGATTTGATTCCTAGCATTTATAATAACAGCAACTATCACACTAATGTTCCAGACTCTGATTTTAATTCTTTTAGATATTTTGCAAGTCTGGTTTCTGTTACAGTAGTGAACTATCCAAGGCAAGCTAACTTTATTAAAATATTTATCTCATAGTATTGGAGGTTCAAGGGCATGGTGATGACATCAGCTTGACCCTGGTGAGGAACTCAGGGCTACTCGTACCACAATGAAGAGATTACTTATGTACCAAGAAGAGACTGCAACTCAAAACAGGAGGCCAAAGAGACCAGGTTCCCACACTTCCTTCCAAGAGCACAATCCTAATGACTTGCAGAGCTTCTACCAGACTTCACCTTTTAAAGGTCCCAACTCCTCCCAGTGTTACTTCCCTGGGGACTAAGACTTTAACACAAAACTTTGGGGGAAGGTTGATATACTTAAACCATACCCACAACATAGCCCAGAAGTGGAACTGTTACATGTTTTCTGTTTAAGTTTTTGAAGTGCAACTGTAACAATTCCCACAGTGAAACCACTTTCCATTAGGGTTCTGGACTCTACACTTCTTCACTGATACTTGTTGCTTCTTGTATTTTATTATAGTAACTTCCCTGTTGGGTATGAGGTAATATCTCCTGGTTTTGATTCCTGTCTCTCATGATCATTGACATTGAGCATCTTATTTTTATTTTATGTAGGTGTTTTGTCTGCATGTATGCAAGTGCACCTGTGTCACGCAATGCCATAGAGGCCAGAAGGAGGCATCAGATCCCCTAGAACTGGAATTACAGATGGTTGTTAGCTGCCATGTGGGTCCTGGTAACTGAACCTGGGTCCTCTGCAAGAGCAGCCATTGCTCCTAACTGCTGAGTCATCGCTCCAGCCCCAACGTTATCTTTTTATGTAATTTTGGCAATTTGTAATTTTTGAAAATTCTTATTCACATCTTTGTGTGGTGTGATTGTGTTTGCATATTTGCACGTGCATGTGTGTGAGCACATGTGTGGGTGTGCATGCATGTGGGTATACATACATATGGAGGCCCAAAACTGATGTTAGAAATCACCCTCCATTGCTCTTTCATCGTATTCAATGAGGCAGAGTCTTTCAATATGGCTAGTTCCCTAGCCAGCTTGGTCTGGAGATCATCCATCTCCTCCTTCAGAGGCTGGAATTACAAGCAGGCTGCCACACCCACCTGGCATTTCCATGGGTTCTGGAGATCCAAGCTCTGATCCTTATACTTCTGCACCAAGCTCTTAACCGCTGAGCAATCTCCCCAGCTGAACATGCCGGATTTTATTCATTTGTTCATCTCTCCCCAGACTACAACTTCATGAATGCAGAGAATTGTGTTTTATTCACTTCCATATACCTGCTACTTAAGACAGTACCTGGCACATAGTGGGCACTTTAATGAGTGAGTTTTGAAGGCAAAGTGAACTGCAAAATATTCTACAAAATATCTGAAAAGAATTCTTCAAAACTATCAAGGTCATAAAAAGAAAAAAAAAGAAAAACGCGAGAAACTGTCATAGACCAGAGGAGACTAAGGATGCACAAAGACTAAATGTGAAGAGAGATCCTGGGTGGAATCATAGAAAAGAAAAAGGACATTAATTTTTAAAAAGTGGTAAAATCTGAATAAAATCTGGAGTTCAATTAATAGCAATGTACTAACATTGATGGTAAAATGCTCTAGCACTATTCACAACTTTGTATATATCTGAAATTATTCAAAAATTTAAAAATAAAGTTGCATTTCTATATACCAACAGTAATGTCTTAGCAATTTTAATTTTAAACTAATTTATGGCAGCAATAACTAAAAAACAGTAAGGATTTTTTTTCCTTTTTTCCATTTTCATATGTGTGGTGTGTGCATGTGTGTGGACACACATGTGTAGGTAAATGTGTGTGTGTACCCCAAGTTGATGTCCGGGATCATCATTGATCACTCTTTTACCTTATTCTGTGAGGCAGTATCTCTTAATCAAACCCAGAACTGACTATATGACTAGTCTCATTAGCCAGCTTGCTCTGAGGATCTCTGTTTCTGCCTTCCAAAGCTGGAATTACATGTGGGCCACCACACTTACCTGGCATTTACAAGTTCTAAACATATGAACTCTGATCCTCACACTTGTGCAGAAAGTGCTTAGCCATTGAGCCATCTCCCTGCCCCTAAACAAGCACTTTATTATTGATCACTGTTTTATTGCTGCTTTCTTTTTGAAACAGCATCTTCCTGTAGCCCCAGCTGACCTGGAACTTGATTTGTAGACCAGAATGGCCTCCATGTCACAGAGATCTACTCATCTCTGCCTCCTGAATACTCAGATTAAAAGTGTATACCACCATGGCCAGTCCTTACTTTTTTTTTTAAGAACATGAAGAGACACAGACCAAACAATGAACTAACTTCCAGAAAGGTGACAGGTAAATATGTTCTTATCTATTTTGGTAAGAATGGAAAAGAGCACAGGAAACAGTCACAGGCTCCTGTAGGGGAGGAGGACAATTCAACAGATACTCCTGTGCCAGGCCCTCTCTGTGGATTTCAAACACTCTAAAATAAATGCTTTATTATTCAAAATGCACTAGATTTAATTTCTGCACAATACATTTCCTTTTAGGTACAATATGCTAATGTTCCTACAAAGCAAATTTTGTTCTGCCCTGCTTCTCTTTGTTTAAGCACATCTGTATGATTTCCTTTGTGTGGAGAAGTAGTCACAGTAATGAATGTAACTCACATTTAAGTGGCTTCTTACAGCTTGTCATTTATCACCAAACAGTACTACCTTGTGCATCATAGGAAAAGTATAAAGTAGTGGCCAGGAACGTGGACTTAGGTTTCATGGATTGGAAGAACATTCACCTTGCATGAACTTTGGTAAGGCTTGTTGGCTTCCACAGCTAAGAAATGAGCATATACTAACTAAATCATCATCATCATCATCATCAAGATATATAGTGCCTAAGTTACAGAGTAGTTAGATTAAGTGTAAAGTCCTTGGGAAATGCCCTTAGCACATTAAATGCTTTGTGTTCAATTGACTCCTTATTGTATATGTGAAGAACACTAAAGCTCAGAAAGCTGAAATTACTCTGTATTCAACTGGTAATGGTGGGCCAAGAATTTAAACCATGTCCTTCAAATCATGGTTCTTGGTATTATAAGCATATAAATCACCAAAGTAAATAACATGATTGGGAATCAGACATCAGCATGGGAACTTACAAAATCCCCTATCTAGTCTGCTGTCACACTCAAGAGTTTGCTACCATCTTCTGAAGAAATTGTCATGCAGCCTTTGGAACCAATAGAACACTGTCTGCCTCGTGAGATATAATTGGTTATTTGACAATCAATCAGTGTACTAGTTCTGTTTTAAAACAGTAAGGCTGGGGGTATAACTCAGTGGTACTTGCTTGTTTGGTTTGCACATGCCCCTGGGTCCCATCCTTGCACCCCAAACAATTAATAATGATGATAATATAAAAGAGTGAGTCCAACTGATCCTAGTACTACTGCTCCATTTCCTTTACTTCTGTACATCATCTAAGTTTGACTTTAAAATAGCAATTCCTGCCGGGTATGGTAGTACACACCTTTAATCCCTCCCTTGGGAGGCAGAGGCAGGTAAATCTCTGAGATAGAGGCCTGCCTGATCTACATAGCTAGTTCCGGGCCAGCTGGGGCTATAGGGAGATCTTGTCTAATAAAACAAATAATTAAATAGCAGTTCCTGCAATGTGAGAAAATAGAAGGCGATTTTTGAAATGCTTCATAAAGCTATTACAACACGATTTCATCCCTTTATTTTTTTAGAATACATACTGAACTCATTACATCTGACATATACCAATCCTTATTGCTGTTCTTATAAGACAAATCCATATAACTTCTATTAAAGAATTCTCTCTTTAATGCTACTAAAGACAAAGGCAACTTGTTTTTGTAATTTTGAATCACATATTCATTCCCCCTACAACATTCATTCCATAGCAAGTGCTGCAAACAAAAATTACTAACACGTTGTTCTCAGCCAGTTGTGTACAGAAGTCTTTTCCAGCCTGACTTGATGAAATCTTCTATGTAGACTCAGAAATGCTAGATTTTGTGGGCAGATAAAGTTACTGAAATTTGCCTTCAGCTTTGTCAATGCTAAGTAGTTGTTGGATGCATGAATGTTAATTTTCTTGTTTTAATTTAAGACATGGCATTTTTATTATTATTTTACTATATTACATCTCAGCAAACATACCAGGCTGCATTCTCTCAAATGGCAAATGAGACACAAGACAACATTTCCTGTGGTTCTCCCAGGAATCTCAGTATCAGTCATCTGTCTTTTGGAGGATTCAGTTTCTTACGATGTCTGTGATACTGTCCATAAGGGTACCAGCAGTGCTTAGTAGTGAAGAACATTGTGCTGAGCTGTTCTATTGTGGGTTTTTACTCAAGGTGTTCATTTTTTCCTTCTAATTTGGTCTTCGGCACTTGATCATGCATTCCTTCATGATCATGCAGGGGATCTAGTTGAGGGATAGGTGTTGTGAGTTCATGTGGAATGTCCACAGAAGGCTAATGGCACACTATTGTCCTGCCATCAGATACCAAAGTGAGCTCTACTTCGCAGTTGTAATCATCTGGAAGAGAAGAATGCATAGATTTATGACAAACACAAGACAAAGCTCCATTTTGGATTGGAAATAAATGCTTAAGATCGTTCTGTTTGGGACCACACATTTTACTGCTGCTGCCACCACCACAGTGTATCAAAATCTTTATCAAGTGATATGAGAAAAGATGTTTTGAATAGAAACTGCCTCTAAAATCTGCTTCTAGACACATGAACTTTCACTCTGTGAGCCCTCCATCTTGCCCCAATCCAGTTCTAATGTTAAAAATGTTAAAAATGTTATCTAAAGTTAGTGACACTTCTTAGCAGTGTGTGTGTTGTTGCTGCTGCTACTGCCGCTGCCGCTGCTGCTGAAGACTGAATATGGGACATTACACATGCTAGGCAAATGCTCTAACACCAAGCTCTAACACCCCCAGCCTAGATTTATATTCAGACTTTCAAATTCCTGGCTACTTCGTTTTATAAATTTGGAAGTTCAAAAGCACAAGGAAGGAGCCCTGACAAGGCATTGGTGTAGTGGCAAGCATAGCGTCCTTCCAGTAAAGGAAAATTTTGTTTTTCATCTCTCGGTAGCAGCTGTGGCTGTAATACAATGTGTAAAAAAAGCTTTCAAGATAATCTCCTACTCTCATAAATTACTTTCATCCAATTCTTAAACATCTACATCTTTAAAGTAAAAACAGCCACTCTTACCAGACATAGTTTTGTATTTTTGTCTACCTGCTGAAGCATTAATTTTCATTTTGCATATCTTTATTCTTTAGGGTTTGGGTAGATGCATTTTAGGTAGGATTGGAATTATGTACTAATATGGAAACAGTGAAAAAAAATGAATCAATTTGTGGTTAGCAAATTCAACATTCTGATCACAGGGAGACTGTTGTAAATTACTGATATATTCTAGCAGAATCAGTAAAGGTTATGTCGAATATCTACTAAAAAAAATCATACTACATGGTGTTAATGATATTACCTTAACATACCAGCTTCAGGGGCAGTATAATTGTTTCTGCCAACCCATAAATTTTTGAATAACAACAAAATTATTGTGATTTTTCTTACTAAATAATTCATACATTACAAAGCATGTGTGTAACAAGGTCCATGAATCACTAAAGCAGATAATGATCATATATCTAATGACATATCTCTTTTCATAAGATGAATCCAAATAGATTTATGTATTTAGGTTAACTAAAAAATACTGAGTTTATAAGGTTCATAATTTTATCAACCATAACAACCACAACAAAAAAGCTTCAAACCTTCTTTAAAGAAGTCCAGTTTTTGTGATTCACTTTTAAAACTGGAACACTTGTTCATTGAAATGTGTCTTTTCATGAAGTTTTACAGCTTTTAAATTGATGCTATAAATATCGCTGAAGATAAATTAATAATATAATGGAATAGTACAATGTTCATAAACTGTATTTAAAATGACATGAGTGCAACTAAAATAGCTACGAGCAATCCTATGTAAAACCTCATACCAGGGCTAACTGATATTCTTTATCCAGCAACTAGGATCCAAGAAAGGCTATTTTCATCTGCTAACACTTCCTGTCATGTCCTTTACCTGGGTCTTGTTTTAAATAATCTCAAACCAGATATATCATTTTCTTAATACTACTAAAAAAAAATGGTCCCATGTGAGACTTTTTATCTACTTAATTAAAACTAGGTTTCCTAGCTAAAATTTTGAAAATTCTAAATCTGCAACATATGAAATAATATTAAATTGACATCTTAGAATTTTAACGTATTTATTTGGCAATTTCATATATGCACACAATGCATCTTGATCATATCCCCGCTCCACTTCCTTCCCTCTACCACACAACATGTTGCCCTCCACCTTCATGTCCTCATTTCTTTTTATAACTTACTGAATCCAATCATTGCTGCCCACATGCACATGGATGTGGACCATTCACTGGAGCACGGGCAACCTACCAGAGGCCACCCCCCACCCACCAAGGTAAATTAACTCTTCCTTCCCTAACAGTCATCAATTGCTAATAGTTCCATAGCTAGAGGTGGGGACTTGTGAACCCCTCCCCCATCACTACTGGAATGCTGACTGGCTTGATCCTGTCTAGGTCTTAGCCCATAATATTTACCATTTTAAGCATCCAGCTCAGTGATGTTCACTTTATTATAAAACCTTCAACACTGTCCATCTTCTTCCCGAACTTTTTCATCTTGAAAAACTGAAGCTCTTTGCCCACTAAACTCAAATTGTACATCTGCTTCCCTCTTTAACAATTTCTAATGGCTTTGTGGAGATCTATATCCCATGCCATACAGTTCTTTTTCTACAGTATACCATTCAGTGGTGTAGCTTAGTCACAAAGTTTTGCAACCACCACCACCACAATCAACTTTGGAAACTGATTCAACACCCTTAAAAGAAGTCCTGTGCCCCTAAGCAGTCATTCCACACTGTCTCCTAACCTTCCCAGTCCTAGACAACCATTCATGTGGGTTATTTTTTCCTCCGTAGATTTTCCTATTTTGAATGTTTCATATAAATGGAACTAAGTGGTCTTTGAAGACCATCTTCTTTTACTTAGCATAATGTTTGCAAGTTCATCAACACTGTTATTCCTTGTTTTGGTTGAACAATATTCCATTATTTGACTGTCTTAGTTTGTTTCTTCATTGCTGTGACAAAATACTCTGACCACTACCAACTTGGGGAGGAA